ATTTGCTGTTAGCTTTCTGTGTTAGCTCTTCCACTAACAACTGGTCTGCTGCTGCTGAAGAAAAACAGAAATGAATTAAACAGATCAGCCTGTCGGCGTAGATACCTGATCAGCTTTTTGTCTCTCTTTCAAATTTTTAACTCGTGTATCCTCAGCCCTGCATTCAGTGTGAGCTCTGTGTGGTGGCTGGTCAGTTGAAATGTACAGTGTGAGCAAGTTCAGAACTCCTGTCCGTTTACTCACAGAGTACAGGCTCCCCCTGGAATGTTGTGGCAACATCCCATAATGAACAGTTGATTGTTATTATAAACAAGCAGGGACTGAAATTAACCAAATGGTGTGTTGGCACAGCTTGACCTCCACCATGTTAGTTTGCAGTCTCCATCTACATCAGAGGTGGGGAACTCCAGGCCTCAAGGGCCGGTGTCCTGCAGGCTTTAGATGCGTCCTTGATCTGACACAGCTGATTTAAACGGCTAAATGACCTCCTCCACATCTCTTGAAGTTCTCTAGAGGCCTGTTAATGAACTAATCATTGATTCAGGTGTGCTGACCCCGGGTGAGATCTAAAACCTGCAGGACACCGGCCCTTGAGGCCTGCAGTTGCCCACCCCTGATCTACATGAAGTGTTCTGGATAGGCTACAGCAGGGTGGGCAATCTCAGTCCACGAGGGCTGGTGTCCTGCAGGTTTTAGATCTCACCCTGGGTCAGTGATTAGTTCATTAACAGGCCTCTGGAGAACTTCAAGAGATGTGAAGGAGGTCATTTAGCCATTTAAATCAGCTGTGTCAGATCAAGGACACATCTAAAGCCTGCAGGGACACCGGCCCTCGTGGACTGAGATTCCCCCCCCCCTGGGCTACAGTGTGACCTCAGTTTTTGGTCCAGTATAATGATGGAATGGTTCACTCTGTGTGTTTTGTTATCTTTATCAGTCTGTTGGTGACTGTCATTGTTCACAAAACTCTGCATTTTGGAGTCTGTTTGTTGGCTCAGTGGACTTGGCCTGCGGGTGGATGTCCTGCAAGTGTTCACACTGATGCCAATTCAGCACTCAGCTCGAGGGAAGGTACTGAAACATTACCTTCTGTTAAAGGTTACTAAGCTGTGCATTTGAATCCAATCTGAACGTTGTGATGTGGTCACATGTGGCACCATGAACAGGCAGGCAGATGTAGATCCACCGTCCAGCTGCGCAGGACACTTGGAATTTAAGGCATCAGTTCAGTGGACAGCTGGTATACTCGGCTTTCTTTCACTGCAGCCTCTGGTGTTTGTCTCCTCACCGTGCTCTCTGTCTCCACAGGCTTCACTGCTTCACATCTCTGGGATCAGTCGGGTCCTTGTTAAAGCCAACAGCATGTGCACAGTGGGATGAGGTAGTAGGTTGTATAGTTTTAGGGTCATACCCACACTGGGAGATAACTATTCAACCTACTGTCTTTCCCAAAGTGCCAAACAGACATCACAATGGTCCCTGTGTGGATTCCGGAGGTCTTCTCCCTCAGCGGTGTGTTCGTGGATTCAGATGTTGCTCTGTATTCTGCTGCTCGTCCAGTGTGAGGTAGTAGATTGTGTAGTTTTAGGGTAGTGATTTTGCCCTCTTTAGGAGATAACTATACAATCTATTGCCTTCCCTGAAGAGTGGACTCTCTCAAGCTCTCTTTCATCTGTGGAATAATTTTCATAATGTAAGAGTTTTGGTGTTATCGTATTTATGAGGTGTTAACATATATACTCATATTTATATGTTAACACCTCGTATTCCTTATGTTCTTATAACTCTGTTTTTATTCTTGATTCATTTCTTGTTGCAGACTGCAGTTTGGATTCTGTCCTGTGTATGTCCTTAATGTATTACAGAGCTGACAAAACTGACTTTAAAAAATGATAATAATGTTGAACCGTGTTGTGTATCTGTATTGTTTGTGACCTGAGCAGCAGAATGATGAACTCGGACTGTATTTCCACACCTATAAAAGGGATCTGTTTTCCGGATACGTTTTTTTTTTGCTGTTGCTTCTTTTTAATACGCTCTGATATGTTGGACGCTGGACTGTGGATTGATGTGTAAATTTGTAACTTTGTTTTGTTTGTGTTTCTTGAGCTTCCCAATAAAATCTGACCCAGTAATTAAAACAAAGTGGAGTGCTGTGCTATGAATGTACATGAAGGAACTAATCTAAAGGTCCTTAAGGTAATATTTAAAAGACAAAAGGGGAAAAAACACTTCACCTGCAGTTTCAGTGACAGAGGGCCTAGAGCCTCTCCCACCTACCACAGGGCGAGAGGCCCTACACCTTGGACAGGTCGCCAGTCTGTCGCAGTGCTAACACAGACAGACAACCATTCACACTCACATTGACACCTAAGAGCAAATTAGATTAGTTAACCTACGCTTCTTTTACACTTTGTGCAAATTCCTGCTGAAGCGTTTCCCCCATCCTATCTTTCCCCAGTTTTGCAGTGATGTGCTGACTCCAGCTTCTTTTAATGGAAATCCAAGGATCCCTTTTAGATTTGGGGATAGGGTGCATCTTGGCATCATTATTCCAAAATATTTCTGCTATTTGGAGTTGTGATGATGGAGAATTCTGTGCAAAATGTCCATAATTCTTCAGCTGGGTTAAGATCTGGTGACTTGGAAGCCCAAACAATCTGATTAGAATGACTGTTGTGCTGTTCATACCATTTGGTGAGCACTACTGCCCTAAAAATATAATTTTACACACACACACACACAGCACACACACACACACACACACACACACACACACACACACACACACACACACACACACACACACACAAGATAACACAGCCACTGGTTCTGTTTACTGTACAGTCAATAAAAAAATCTCATCTTGTCAGATGAGGCTTAGTTGGTTGATGCACATTCAGTTTATAGCAAACACATTTCCTTAATGATTAATTATCTAAATAAATATTTGATTTTATAATTTTGCACATTTCAGTTGAATTTTACTCAAAGTTTTCTCTTCTACGTGTTTGTAGTTAGGAAATCTCTGCACACTAACAATGAAGGCAGCATTTCCCACCATTGTGTGTGCTGTTGTTTACTTGGAGGTAGAAGTGCGAAAACAGCTTTTTGTTCAATGTTAGGTTCACAGGTGTGCCAGCAGATGGCGCTAGAGCGCTTTGACGGCTCCACATCACGATCACTGTGGATCATTTACTGGACACGAGGAAAAAGTCTGATCTGGTCTTTACTAATGTTTCTGCAGCTGTTGCATAATAAACCAATTACTGTTGGACCAGATGTGCTTGTAATGACAGTTTTTAAACAAATAAAATATTTTATGGCTTAAGTTATGTTTCTAGGCTTGTTTTTCCCCCATGACACAGAAACTGTGCACGACAAGCCAAAGACATTTTATTTAAATCTTTTTTTTCCAGTTTTGAAGTTTGAATTTCCATCTGAATTTGCTTTTTAACTGTTTCAAAATATTTAGTTTGACGATCAGACTTCAACTCAAATGCTCCATTATTCTCTGGTGGGTAAAATTCTCTGCTTATTTACTAAGTAAAAGCAGCCTCGAAAACGCATAATATAAATGCGCTGTTACAAGCATCCAAAATGACAAACGTTCAAATATAAAGTTCCTCGGTACTCAGAAAAGTGTTCTTGATGTTTGAACCTTACTGTGCAGAACGTTACATGCTCACAGTTTAACAATCTCACTTTAACACCTCAGACTCATATTTACATTGTATCCACTATTTATCCACTTGTGCAATGAAAATAATTGAAGGTTTAACTGATGAACAGATATGTGTGCCATCTAATGAATTTCTGGCTTTGTATGGATTTTTCCCCCCAAAGAAATCCAGTACTTATAGTACCACAAATTTTAAAACTGGGGGAAAAATGACATCCTAAAACCACTGTTATACTGAGCCCAAGCACTTAATTCAAGTAAATAACTAAAGTAGTGAAATTCATTCGGGGTCCTTGGCTGTGTAGCACTGACTCAAGGGGAACTGACTGCTCTTTAGCAGTCTCTATTAATGACCAATGTTAAAATAATGTTCAGTCAAAATATTTACCTTTCAGCTTTAATGAATTAAAAGTTGCACACGGACCTGAAATACTCATGTAAATACATTTGCCGCAAAACTGTTCATAATGTAATAAAGACACTGACAGCTGACTGACTGAGAATTGGGGTCTAAAACACGCAAAACTAGCTCAACAAAATGTGAGCAACGACAAAGAACAAAGTGAGAAACTGCAAAAAAAGACACAACGAAAACACAACAGATGAAAAGAAATTCAAACATGCAAAACGGCTACAAAATACAAACATAATTTCATATCGTTTTCAATCATTCATATTCATATTATGATTGTAAGATGATGCCGTTTGACTTCAGATAAAGACGCAAAAAACCCTACAAAATGACTCAAAATGAGCACAAAGACACAAATGACATCACAAGTGTAAAATGACTGTACACATAAAACAACTACAACTAGATACAGCATCTTGGAAAACACACAACATGACCACAAATAGCTCCAAAACAAGACAAACAAACAAACAAACAAAAACCCTAACGTAATAATAATAATGATAAAAACACTACTGCCAAGAGACAAAAACCTTTAAAGAGACTCAAAATGTCCACAGTGACACTAAATAACTGCAGGTGCAAAAAAATGACTACCAAGACACACAATCAACTACAAAAACACAAAATGACCGCAAAGACACGCACACATATTACGCACAGCTAAAGATGACAAATGAATATAAATACAATATATATATATATATATAAAGTCTGACAGAGTGAGCTTCTCAACACACTTCTGAGGTGTGTGTGTGTGTGTGTGTGTGTGTGTGTGTGTGTGTGTGTGTGTGTGTGTGTGTGTGTGTGTGATTGTGTGTGAGTAAAGTTGTGTGTGTCGGTGGGAGGGGCTTTTATTTTACTACTAAATAAAAAGTAACGGTGCCCGGCCGGCTGCCAGTCTGCGGTGTCGCGGGTGACCTGTGGTTTAGGATGAGCCGCCGCGTGTGAGTGTAAGGACGTGACGGCTCCGCGTGTTTACCACACGGGTCTGCGGGAGCCGCAGCGTGTACCTGCAGGCTGTGTGAGAGCGTGTGTGAGCGGCTCGGAGGCAGATCTTCCACAGAACACGCCCTAGTAGAAAAGGTAGACACACACACTCACGGCGAGAGAGAAACGCACACAAACACACTGAGCCTGATCACCGAGGAGCCGAGCTGCCTTACCTGTACACAACAGCCCCAATGCTCCCCTGCAGGCTGCCACCTCCAGCGCACTGTCACCAGATGAGAGCAGGGCGCGTTTACTTCCACACACTCTGGACTTATCGTATATTTACGCGCGGGGCTCTGAACACCTGGAGAGCCTGCGGGACTCGGCAGGAGGAGTAAAGCTGGGTGTTGTTGCAACAGCGGAGCGTTCATCCACCGGCAGGGCTGAGTACCATGAACAGGAATACGCGGCGCTGGATTTTCCATTTTTTCCTGTGCCTCGGGATAGTGTATCTGAAAATCGGGTGAGTGCTCAGGTGTATTTGTTCTGTTGTTCGTGTCTCAGATCAAAAGGGAGATTCTCCAGACACACGCACACACACACACACGCACACCGGGGTCTGCTAGGTGCTGGGGTCTTTTATGGTTTCAGTTTGTACATGTGTTGTTACAGAAACCCACGCACCTGCCCCCCCTGCATCCACTCACACGTGGTGTTCTCAGAAAGAAGGGAAACGCCACATTTCTAACCTGTCACCTTCATCGCAGGGGGCTGTCGTCGGTGGTGGCGCTGGGAGCGAGCATCATCTGTAACAAGATCCCCGGCTTGGCCCCGCGTCAGAGGACTATCTGTCAGAGTCGACCCGACGCGATCATAGTGATCGGGGAAGGAGTTCAGATGGGAATCAATGAGTGTCAGTTTCAGTTCAGGCACGGCCGCTGGAACTGCTCAGCCCTGGGGGAGAGGACCGTGTTCGGGAAAGAACTCAGAGTGGGTATGTAGTTGTACACGCTGTACCTCAGTGACGCGCTCAGTTTAGGAGTAGAGGCTGATTCAGGGGGGCGGTTGGCTTTTATCTTTCAGTGGCATATAAATAGAATAATACTAAATATAATTATAATGCCATCATAACACTACTGAATGTTGTATCTATATCTGAATAATACTCATATTCTAATTTCCTAAAGCACTTCTGTAAAAATAATTGATCTTTGCCTGCTTTAAAGGGTTCCATCTCTCTTGTCACCTGGTTCAGGTGGACTTTTAGTAGAAATAGTTTGTCAACAAAAACAAAATCATCACATTAATGCTAAGATTTTCTGCAGATATTGAAATAAATGTTTGTGTCTCTGAGCTCCACTTTTGTCTTCTCTTTCCCCTCTGTCGATCAAGACAGGTGGCTGCCTCTCGCCCAGAAGTGTCTTTCTGTCAAAAGGGAGTTCTTCCTCCCTACTGTCACCAAGTGCTTCTCACAGGGCGATCAAGTTGGGGTTTTCTCTCTTTCTATTCATCGCCCCCCCCTCCCCAAATGCTGGTGGCAGATGACTCCCCCTCTGTGAGTCTGGTTCTATTGTGAGCCTGGTTCTACTGTGAGCCTGGTTCTACTGGAGTTCTTTCTCACAGGGAATTGCTTGAATGTTGAGGTTTTCTCTCTATTATTGTAGAGACTTACCTGAACATTTAAAGTGCCTGGAGGCTGTTGCTGTTGTGATCTTGCACCAGAGATTTTAGCATGATAATTAAACAACAAGTTTACATGTCTGTAAGCTTTGTTCTTTTGTGGTCGGCTTTAGCGCCAGAGGTAGAGCAGGTCATCTGCTGTTTGGAAGGTTGGTGGTTCGATCCCTGGCTCCTCCTGTCTGTGTGTTAAAGTATCCACAAGTTGCTCCTGATGTCTCCATCTGAGTGCGAATGTCATTTATAGAGTGCTCAAGTAGAAAGGCACAATATAAGAACCAGTCCATTTACATAGTGAGAACCCTTTAAAACAGATATGTGAATATATGTCAACTAATAAAATAATTATTACACAATATTTTCTTTAGCTTGTGTGTTATCTTTAGTACATTTCCAGTATCATTCTAGCAGATACAGGGGAAGTAAGCTGGACACTGATTGTTCAAAATTGCTTTTAATTCTCCAAAAACATTTGGAGGAGACATTCCTCCGAGGTACTCGAACTCTGACACTTGGACAGATGTCTGTAAGTTTGAAGCCCAGGCGCACTGCGTCTGCTCTCAGTGGGAAAATAAGCCCCTGATTTGATCCTGTGTGTGGAACAAAGCTGGAGGCGATGCTCGCTCCAGAGACAGCACTGTGGATAAATGAGTTTTTAACAGGCCGGTATTCTGCTGTCCTGTCCTTTAAGTTCAGCCTGTCATCTCAGACGGAGAGCTGAGGGTGTCGTTTTTCATGTTGTGTGTATTATAGCTCACGCTGAGCTTTGATTGCTGCGTTGTGCATGACATACTGGTTTGAATGAGTGCACCAACCCATTTTCTTTGACCACTTATTTAATGTGATGCATTTGACGGCTGCAAGATACACATACCTACATGCTCTCTTCTTCTTTTTTTATCCACTGTCAGTGCGACTGCCTTCATGTATGTTCATAAAATACACCCCTCTCCCCCACCCACACCTCCCAAAGCTTCAAGTTCAGACAAGTGCTTACTTCTAGGTTTACAAATTTACCTCCCGGTTCTGCAGCTTTGGCAAAAGACGCTGTATGTAGAATGATTTTTAGTTCAGTGCTTCAGGGCAGAGCAGCACTCTTTATCATCAGATTAAAGTCAGCGAGTAAAGATGAGTGCAGATCTTTTCAGAAAAGCACAACTGCAAAAGGCTGCTTGGGTCCGGCTGCCCAACACCTTGTCTATGTGAATCTATTGTTTTGTTTCAGTGAGCTGGAATGCTGATAACTGACAGAATACACCAATTTGGGATCATTGTTGGCAGCAATGCAGGAGGGTACAGTAGTTTGGCATTAGATTCAAGCATCCTCCCCACCCACCAAGTTGGCTGCTTGATGTAGAGAGTGAGTACGGGCTTCTCCTTTCTTGGCTGCACGGGCAAGCGATTGGACAGAAGAAAATATCTCTAGATCACAAATGTAAAGCCAGGATGTTGCTTTCTGTGATGTCCCATCTACTTTGAGATGGTCCTAGACTGATAGTGAGAATCAGGACTCATTGTGCATGTGCTCGCAGGTTCAACAGCTGCAAGAAGTGTGTGTGGTGTGTGTGTGTGTGGTGTGTGGTGTGTGTGTGTGTGTGTGGTGTGTGTGTGTGTGTGTGTGTGTGTGTGTTGTGTGTGTGTGTGGTGTGTGGTGCATATAAAAGAAGCTGTGCAATGTCGGAAAAGTCTCTGTGGCAGTTCAATCTCTTAACATCCACTAGCTCATTTGGGACAGGTCCAGGGGGACAAGTATGTGGTTAGGAAAGTCAACCAAGTTAAACCTGGAGTAGAGTCAATGACAACGAATGTGCTGGCAAATGTCACTCAGAGCTTCAGTGGAAAGAACATCAGAACGAGGCAGACAAGATCTACTACACAGTTTTATTTACATAAAACAAGTGACTAGGGTTAGGGCGACGAGGATCAGCTTTAAGTTAAACTACATGTTAGGGTGAGGCACTGAAACTGACTTGTTAGAGCTAGAATTAAGCATTAGAACTGCAGAAAGGTATCGCAGAAGGAAAAGTGGTTACAGTTAGACAAGTGTTACAATGTGACAGAAGCAAAACCCAGCTCCTGATGAGAGTTGGGTTGTTCTTCAACCACAAAATGTTACCTTTCAAATAAAGTCTCATACATTACATCACTACATATAGTGATTTTCTTTTAAAGGTATCCCATCTGCTTGTCCCATATAGGTCAAAATGCCTCTAAATAATACCCCTAACCTGGGACGGGTCACCTGGCAGAGGTTAAGAAGTTAGTAGTTGAATATGATGACTTTATTGGCCATTTCTGGATGCTTTCCCATGTGCTCAGAAATGATCTCCACCTTTAATTAAAAAACTACAGCTGAAGAACTTGGATTTATGGAGTGGAAATCCATCCACGTAGGGAGGTTGTGCATGCCTCTCAGATTCCCCTCCGCAGGGTGGATCCTGGAGAGATGGCGGCTGGGACAAGGGCCAAAGCTGATGCCCGAGCTTTTAATCTCTGATCTGCCTCTACTGTTTCATTATGCTCATCTGATCAGTGAATTAGTGTAATTACTCCTGCACTTACAGTAGTATCCCACCTAACCATACTTCATTACACATTCAATACAAGTTGCTTGAAAATACCTTCCTTTATTAAAGGTGTTCAGTATTAGAGCTGTTAGAGGTACGCTTCCTGCTGAAGTTTATCTGCTTAAAGAGAGCTTGATTAATGAAGGGGACTTGGCTCGGCTTGTGTATTTCATGATTTGGTTTGAGGCAACTATGAAAGGTATGTAAGGAGGCTTGACAGTGCCTGAAATAGTGAATCCTGTTGTCTGTGATAGTGATTAGAAATGTCTTTCCTCTTTATCGCAGGCAGTAAGGAGGCTGCTTTCACCTACGCTATCATAGCCGCAGGGGTCGCCCATGCAGTCACAGCGGCCTGCACCCAGGGGAGCCTGAGTGGCTGCGGTTGTGACAAGGAGAAACAGGGTTTCTACAACCAGCAGGAGGGCTGGAAGTGGGGTGGCTGTTCTGCGGACATCCACTATGGACTGAGTTTCTCCAAGGTGTTTGTGGATGCGCGGGAGATCAAGCAGAGCGCCAGGACACTCATGAATTTACACAACAATGAAGTGGGACGCAAGGTAGGTTTATACATCGTCATCACCTGATGGCAAGCATTCTGACAGAGCTTCATGCACGGTTGTAATAAAGCCATGCAAACGGTATGTCACAATGTGCAAGACAATGTTGGCAAATCAGAAATGACATACACACCGTCTCACATGCTGTTAACGGGGTACAGCCTGGACATGACAGCAGTCTGCAGGCAATCCGATTTCAAACAGCCCACATTTGCTCCCCTAATACCTCAGGCCAACTGATGTTAAGTTTAAAGTTTGTGTCACTCCCTGCATGGATCTCATGGGGTTCAGCTTTTAAGCGAAGCAACCTGAGATCAGTGTTGACTGCAGCACTGAAACCTGATTCAGCAGCATGGCTTGATTGTAATGTAACTACTAACAGTTGTAATGTGGATTGCTCACACTATAACTGATATCAGATCCAGCACTCTTTACAACCAACACATGTAATTAGGCAAACGCTTCCATATCCGCACCTACAGGCAGTTCAGAGTTTGTAGTTCTTTGTTAAAAAGACAAAAATCTGAAAATGCTAACATGGTGTTGTAGTGTGTACAGAGAAAATGTAACTTTGCCAATTAAACAAGAAGAATAGCAAGAAGAAACAACAATGTGGGCTTTATTAGGGAAACTGTAAATGAGACTTTTTTGACTTTTTTCTCTGATTAAACTGGAGAAAAAAAAATCAGAGAAAGTATCTGAAAGTGATGAAACTCAAACAACAGTTAAAATAGCACACAGAGTGGTGGATGAGGTAAATGTTAGAATTTGTTATACCCACAGCAGCGAGAGCAGCAAGTTTTAGTTGTTTGAGTATACTTGAGTCAAAGATAGCACCCACTCAGTTTAATAATGATTGCTCAACAAGGCACATACCTGTCTTCTTTTTGCATGTTCTACATTCTTCATGTGTCTTTTCCAATATAATGTCTATGGAGAAAATGCTGTTTTGCCCACATTTTGAGTTCTATTACCTTCATTTGTGTTACCTGCAAGCGACACACAGAGGTCTCCCAAAACTGTGAAAGCAGTTTGACATCTGCTTAAAACTGAAATCTGTTGTTATCTATTGTGTTTTTAACACTGTGTCCAAAACACCAGAATGTTCTCATGGAAACAAGGGTTTTAATGATTATTTCTTTAATCTTTATTGGTTTTCTGTCGTAAGCTTCAGTGAGCTCTACAAACACATTCATCTTAGAAATAGAATTAACAGTTTGGCATTAAAAATGGTGAACCTCATCCCCTTATTTACCCATATAGTACTTTCCTTCCATGCATACACAAATTTATCTGTCACACACATCTGCATCGAGGGTTATCTCTATCTTGGACACTTTAACATGCAAAGTGGAGGATAACAACACAACATTCCAATGAATGGACAAACTGCCCCACTGCCACATAAATGTATATAGATACACTGACAAAAAAATACCTGCAGGTAGTTTGTACAGGTTGTATCAGAAACAACTGGGTAGTAAAATATAGTACTGGTTCCTACTGTTTAGTCTTTGTTAAAATCTTAATGGCTCATATCAACATGAAGGTAAAAAACAGTTGTTTTTTTTACATAGAAATTTCAATATCAGGAGCCACTGAGGGCATCGTGTGGTCATTGCAAAACTAGTGCAAATATCATTTTGAGAACACGAACTCATGAAGTAATAGTGTTTTCAAAGAAACAAATTAGGGTAAACCCAAGACGACCATATTATTATTATTATTATTATTATTATTATTATTATTATTATTATTATTATTATTATTATTATTATTATTGTTGTTGTTGTTGTTGTTAATTTATTTCAAACATGTAAACAATATACAGGTACATTTAGTAAAGAAAATAAGAGAGAGAGAAAAAAATACTATACAAAAGTCAATACATTTCAATATTGCTACCGTTCTGATTCATTTACATGTTGAAAGGGAGTGGGAAGAAGTACACACTTATTTAATCCCACCCCTTTGCCATAAGTTATCAGTTAATATTTAGTCAGCTTCCTTACTGATATAATCTGTAATAAAAATAGTGAACAGATTTCTGATATACTATAATATCACATCATGAAATTTTTTAAATAGAGACATTCACTTAATTTCAATATTTTCCCTTTCTTTATAGTTCGAGAAGATCATATTTTTATAACTCTTTTTGAACTGTTTTATGTTTGGACGTTGCTTTAATTCCATATTCAAACTGTTCCACAGTTTCACTCCATGAACAGAAACACAAAAGCTTTTTCTTGTAGTACGTACCTTGTTTTGAAGTTACAAAAACCCCTTAAATTATAACTTCCTTCTTTCAAAAAAAACATACTCTGAATATTACCTGGCAGTTCTTTATTTTTTGCTTTGAATAGAATTTGTGCTGTTTGGAATTTCACTATATCGTCAATTTTCAATATTTCAGACTGCAAAAATAGTGAGTTTGTATGTTCCTATAACCTGCATTGTGGATGATTCGAACTGCTTTTTTGATATGGAAGAGCATTACCCTGATGCTGATATCATTAGCAGCAGACAGCAGTAAGGAGCCAGACGACCGACTGATCAATAGAAAAGACTGTCCTCAAAACTGAACCACAAGAAAACAGTCCATTGAAAAAGCACTGGAAGGCATCGAAGGCACATCCTGCTCCTACTATTAAAGTGGACATGAAAGTCTGCATGCTTTAACCTTAATTTACACCACGGAGTCCAACTCTAAAAACAATGTCACAGATTTAACACTGTCCATGAAGCTAGATTAAAATTTTTTTATGGTGTTTAGAGCATGTGTAGTGCCATCTTGTCAAGTACGGACAATTCAATTCAATTTTCAATATTTAAGTTAATTAAGTCACTCAAGATGCTTTATATTGTAAGGTAGACCCTACAATAATCCATACAGAGAAAATCCAACAATCATATGACCCCCTATGAGCAAGCACTTTGGCGACAGTGGGAAGGAAGAAACCTCCAACAGAACCAGGCTCAGGGAGGGGCGGGGCCATCTGCTGCGACCGGTTAGGGAGAGAGAAAGAAGACAGGATAAAAGACATGCTGTGGAAGAGAGACAGAGATTAACAACAAGTATCTAGAAAACAAGAAATTGATGTCAGTAGGTTGGTTGGTTACTACTAATTCTGCTACGTCAGTTTATGTTAGCTAACTAGTGACAGAAACAATTATTAATTGGAAAGTAAGTAAGTAAGCTTCTTCACTGTTGGCTAGCTGCACTGAAATGGGAGAATCCTGCTGGGCTTTGTTGAACACTTTATAGATCAGGGTCTTTGATTATTTCTTGTTGGGCCAGACAAATATAGAAAACCATTACATCATGTCAGACCTGAAATCTGATTTTAAAAAAGAGAACTTGCAAGCTTAATATTTCCATTTTTATCAAATGCCACTGAGGAATCCTCACCTTTAAACATAAGCTTAGTTTCTTCCTCCATCTCTGAGTGAAGTTATCTTGCACTGTATTCTTTTCCTTGGAAATAAAGCAGCCATACTTTCAGCTAGCAGATGCACTGTGGGACAACCTGCACACAACATTTTGTGTGTTCGTTGAGGTGATGGAAACATTGTATTTGATGTTAATGTTTCTCCCTTTATGCTCACACCTATTCAGTAGCCCTTGCTAGATGCTATACCATGAATTGTGTTCATCTGCATCAAAAGCACTGTTCTATAGCACCATAAATGATGAACAAATTAAAGGTTTTTGGCTCTTTTCTCTGTTGGTATGTGTTCTTCTATGTGTTATTGTTCCCCCAGTTAGGCTCAAATTGGTATGAAATAAACACTTCCCTCAAGTGTGTTAAGTCTAAAGTAATAATAATAAGTAACAAGGTACAAATATTTTTGTTACAATGTGGGGAATAAAAGCGAAAGATTGTCAGATAAATAAAACCCAGCTGAAAATTCTACTTATAATTGGTAATGTGTATGTCATACTTCCCACCTCTGAAACTCACAGAACAACTACACCCATTCATGGGGTTCCCACCTGCTGAGTGCCTGTTTAAATTAAACTTATACTTAAAATTGTCTCCAGTACAGCGCTTATGAAGTAAATTAGTAAATAATAGTTATAGAGTAAGATAAATGTTTTTGTTTAAGGCTGTGAGCATGCTTATTTCAATTTAATTCAATTTTACTGTATTGATTACACATTCAGATGACCTCCTATGACACTGCACTTGGAGACAGCGGGAAAGAAAAACCCCTTTCAACACAAAGAAACCTCCTGTAGAACTAGGCTAAGGGAGGCGAGCCTTCTGGTGTGTTGGGGGAGAAGATAGGACAAAAGACACACTGTGGAAGAGAGCCAGATAACTAATGATTAAACACAATAGTTGCGTAGAAGCACATTGAGAGTGTTTATACAGCTAAGCAACAGCAACTAAGGGGTGATTCAGGGTCTAGCCCTAACTATAAGCTTTATTCAAAAGGAAAGTTTTAGCCTAATCTTAAAAGTAGAGGGGGTGCCTGTCTCCAAAATGCAAATTGGGAGCTGGTTTCACAGAAGGGCCTGAAAGCTGGAGGCTCTGCCTCCCACTCTATTTAGGAAAACTCTAGAAACCACAATTAAACCAGCGATCTGAAGCAAGGAGCTCTATTGATACAATAGGTACTATGAGGGCTTTAAGATGGAATGATGCCAGATTATTCAAGACCTTTGTTTGGAGGAAGGAGATTTTAAATTCAGTTTTGCTAGTGAACAGATCCTAATATTGGAGAAATATCAGTGTCAATGGAGGACACTGACAATGGAGGACATAGTCTGGTCAAAAATGACTCAGAGATTCCTCACAGTGTTACTGGAGCCCAGGGTAATGCCATCAGAATATGTCTCTGTTTAGACAATATGTTTCTGAGATTTTTAATGCCAAGCACAATAACTTCCGTTTATATTTAGATGCAAGAAATCAGAGGTCATCCAGGTCTTTATGTTTTTAAGACATGTCTATAGTTTAACTAGATGGGTAGATAAAGCTGGGCATCATCTGCATAACAATGAAAAAGTAGCTATGCTGTTCTAATAACACTGCCTAAGGGAAGCATGTATAATGTAAACTGAATGAGTCCTAGCACAGAACCCTATGGAACTCCATAATTAAGTTAATGTATGAAGAAGACTCCACATTTATATGAAGAAATTGTAGTCTATTAGACATTATTCAAACCACTGCATCACAGTACTTTTGATACCTATGTTTATGCTCTAATCTCTCTAATACAATATTGTGGTCAGTGTTATTGAAGGCTGACACGTCAACCATAGAAATGAGTGGATTTTAGTATACTATTAGCTAAGACAGCTGTTTAAAGTGATGACTTTTTACGTAGTGGTTTAATTAAAGCCTGCACTACATAGTCCATTAAGACAGATAAAGACTGAAGCATTAATAAATGGTAGAGCTTCTTTGAACAGTAGTAATGGGATCTAATAGACAGGTTGATGGTTTGGCGGATGTAATTATTCTGTTGAAAATTTGGGCATTTCAAGTCTTTGGAGACTGATTGACCTTTGAAGAATTTCAAGGAACATTAGTTCAACGCTGGCCTTACTACTCAGCCTGAGAGGTTGCTGCTTGCTCTGGTATCTCAACTGTTTAATAGCCTGCATTAATTTTTTATATAAATACTGATGGTTCAGCCAGAATAAATCCTACTGAATTTTGTTATGCCCTGACTATGTCCACACATGGATGGTCATTGAAATTTTGTCAAGATAAAATATATGCTCCTTTATTTAATCTCTAACTTTTCTGAAACCGGTAATACGAACTCCAAGATGTTTAGGAAATATTTGCATTTTCAACGAGCTAAGGTTTTATAATGACCACAACATTGTGCAAATGCATCATTATGGAGGATGCTCTTGAGATTTCTCTAGTGTAGTTGATTTTAGACCTGTGGTTGAACACACAGGCAAATTAAAAACGTATCAGGACCTATTTAGCTTCAAACTTTTTCTTTTCTTGCAGTTTAATGGCATTTTGGTTCTAGAATAGTATTAAAAGCTAATAGATGAAGAGATATGAAGAAAGTTAATTGTAGTCAAACAAAAGTAAAAAGGAAATCCTGCTCAGTCTTTTATGCAGTTCAACTCAATCAAATATTCGTTTCTGTTCAATGACATGCATCAGATCATGTAACTGACCATGAGATGAGATTATTTTAGGATGTGTATAGAGTTGATGAAAACCTAATTTCTATGTATTAAAGACAGAAATAGCAGTTCCTGCAGACCCTTACCTTACATGCATCAAATGAAAAATCTAAGCAAATCTTTGTCAAAATTTCTCTGTGTGCACAGCTTTACTTTAGAGGAATGCATCTAAAATGTTGTTTGCAGAAGGCTGTGCGAAGTCTCTCGGGATGAGGCTTCATATTTTAGGCCTGACATCAGTCACAATGTGATACAGTGCGTGGATCTCTTAATATACACTTACTAAACTGATACCTCTGTAATTATTGTAGGAAAGCTTTCATGTTTAATTGGAGATAATGTCAGTCTGTGTGACTTGAGTGCCAACCTTCCAATTTCTTGAGAAGAATAAACAAGAGTGTAAAAGGTGCCACAGGAGGCTTACGGGGCTTCTGTTAGACAAACAATGGCATCTTCACTGGGATTTCACTTCACTGAACTCCATGAATTAAATGTTTGCCGGGTCTCGGGGGCATGACCACACTAAGCTGTATGCATCCAAGGCTTTTGACAATTACCCCACGAGACTCCAGAAAGTCTGAGGCCACATCAGAGTAGAATAATTAAAAAGCAGGGTGAGGCTTCTCTAATGCGTGCAAGGGTTCCCACTCAGTGAGGAGGAAGAAGGGTAAGTTGATGTCATTCAGCCAGAAGCACAGACAGAGTCCCCTGGCTGTAACAAATACACTGAAAGGTTCCACTCCTGAACTGTAATTCAATTCATTTCAACGACTACGGATACTCAAGATTGTCTTTTGAAGCTCATCCTGACTCGTAAAAATGGCACATGTATTGCTGGTTGTCGTCATAGTAACTCACTCAGAATTAATCTAAACTCGCTTTGTGAAACCGAAAACCCAGAGTTTTCGTTAACTCAGGGTATACTTACTCAGAGTTTGCACTAAACCGGCTTCCTGAAATAGGGCCCTGAACAGGAATTTGTGTTTGTTTTATGACAAATTCTGACAGTTCTGTTAATATTGCTGAATCCAACAGCAGAGTAGTTGTAATGTGACCAACTCATCCACTGTCATTCATGGTATGCTGAAGTCAATCCAATCATAATGTAAAGTAATGCAAACCCAAAACAATAGATTTACCACTTTTTAAACTCGGGAAGCTAAATGAAGTTTGTCTTAGAATAATATCAGTTAATAATAATCAGCTTCAATTCAAACTATTTAAATCCTGACAGACAGTTAGCATTTTAATAGGTGATTAGCAGCTATAAAGAGAAATCTCATCTTTCCCCAAACCTCACACCCAGTCAGAGCAGAGGGCTTCCCCTCTGAGACTGGTTCTGTCAGAGGTCTCTTCCTGTTCAAAGGGCGTTTTTCTTTCCTCTGTCATCAAGTTCTTGTTCATAGGGGATCTCCTGATCGATGGGGCTCTCTCTCATATTGTAGGCTAGATCTTAAAATATACGCGTGCTCCATAAATATGATGAATGAGGTTCTGGCCTTCAGAAATGAATACTTAGAATTGTTTCATCATCACAGACTCATTTCATTAACTACATTTAGGCCAACCCTGCTTACATCTGCCTCCCAAAGACTTGAGCCAGGGGAAAAGAAGAAAAAAAAAAATAGAAGTCAGATTATCAGCACTCATAATTTTCCAGACAGCAGGCAGACCAGACAGCTGTGTCTGTCCCACACACTGTTCAGGCCTTGGTGCAGCACCTCACCTCATCTGCAGCAGGTGGGTGGGGCAAGCACGTGCCTGAGATGACTTAGAGGGCTTACTTGCACATATTACGCTATGATGGAAACTGAAATACCCATATTAAATATGATTAAAGACAGCTAGGAAAACGCAATAAGGGTCTTTTTTAAACTCCTTTGCTTGAAGAATGAATAGCCTCATAAATGAGGGCATTGACTACTGCAGTAAAATGATTTTACACGCAAAGACCCTTTAACCCTGAAGAGCTTAACGTGTCCATTAGAAAGGAAGTACCTCTTCCCAACATGAAACTGCTCCCTGCCCAGTGTTTGCTCTTAAAATACAGTCAAAGCTGCCCAGTGTAGAGGGTTAATGTTTAGCAGAAACAGAAGAAGCACAAGATCCCATATGCCCATTTCCCTCGCTGGTAAAGTCCCGCTCAGTGCTTAATAAGAAGAGACGCGTGAAGCGCTCCAGTCGCCCGATAATAACCACTCCTTACTAATGGCTAGCTAACCCTGTCGGGCTAGCAGCTAGCAGCACGTTCCAGCATGGAAGTCCCAAAAGGCAAACGCCAGGCTAAAGTGCGGCAGCGGCCTCTGCAGCACTGCCGAGTCTTTACATGTATGCTTGAAAGAATACTACCCCAACTACTAAGAAATGTGTATCCAAAATGTATAATTAACAAAGTATACCCACCTACCTGCCATGTCGAAAGAATCCTCCACCCTCTGACTGCTTCTTCTTCGTGGTTCGTGAAGCTGCTACTTCTTCTTCGAGGGTTTAACAGTAGTATCCTTAATGTTACATTACTGCCATCTTTAGGAGTTACTTAACTCCTACAACGTCTCACCCTCCCAGATGCTCCGACACTTGCTGTAACTCAAGGCTGACTGATCTTCTGCTTGCCACTAACAAATTTAATTTTGAGGGTTTTTTTCTGATTTATAGTATAGTTTTTTAAAATGTTGTACATGTTTAGCCTCAACATTAAACGATTTATTGGTGTAGCGAAAAACAGTGAAACTTCTTGCTGGAAAACCAAGCTCACTTGCCATTGTAAAAGTACTCCCCACAGGCAGCAGCCTCTTCCAGTAAGTCAAAAACCAGCCCAGGAGCAATTTGGGGAACACAACACCCACCCCCAGTAAAAAACAAACAAACACTCAAGACTCAGTCAGTTATGTTTATTTCTCTAAGTAACCCGTTGGAACAATGAAAAAATAGTGCTTGTTGAAAATCCTCCACAGCCCCGTATTACTACAGTACCATTAGTATATCACACTCAGCTTGCATCTACACTGAATTTTGTCTGTATATAAGCGATGAGGTGGAAGATTTTTGTCAATAGCCACACACACACACACACACACACACACCAAAATTACACAAAATGAGTCCAAACAGAGGCCATGTGAGTCGAGGCAGAGTGCTAAATGCAGGAGTTGAGGCAGATTGATGTTTTACAAATGAATGAATGACACAACAATACACGGAGGATTTTTTTTTGGTAAACAGTATTAAGTACATAAAATTGATTGAAAAAGAAAACGCACTGTGGCCTGGTGAGTTTGCACTGCTGTAACAGCCACAGTTTAACACTAAGACAACGCCTTACATTCTACAGCAACAAAGCAACTTATCAGGTTATAGCAATTCTATCGACTTGTGCATTTCAAAAAAGAACATCTGAATAAATAAGACACATTGCAGCATGTGCACAGTGTAAAACATATTTTGGTTTGAATAACCCCTCCCCACCAAGAACCCAGAGAGCTGAGTCACACATTTAAATAACATTACATTCACGTAATGAAATGTTTCTTCATCATGTCCCTAACAGCTATGAGTTAGATAATAAAGCAAGATCTAGTCTCAGACAAAGAACAGGTAACCAACAAAAAGTTCAGAGTGAGCACAGTGGCACATTAACACAGAGTAGCAGTACTCAGAGTCAATTACAAGCTTCAAAGGAAACAGAATGAAAAAACACTTAGCTTCAAAAACTACATGACTGGCAGATCTCAGCAGCGTCGGGTGCAAGAGGTGGCTTCTAATGCAGTAATGCCCACAAATAAAAGTGGAACCTCGTTTGGGAGTCTTCTTCTCGGCAGGCTGATTGGGGCAATGCCAATCAGGAGGCTTCATTCTCCTGAACAGCTTTGTCATGCAGCTCGTGAAGAATGAGAGTCAGGATTGCTTTCAGTGTTGCATACAGAGACTTGTTCTCCTCTGAGCCAGGGTCCATCTGCAAAGCAAACTGCACTGCATCATGCCCAGTAAGAACTTAAGTAAACATGTTCAATACATGCTGTTTGTTAAAGCTCACCTTAGTAAACACTTTAATGGTTTGGTTAAGAAAACTGGTCTCCAATTCTTTAGGCACTGGCAGGAGATGAGCAGCACAGTCGAGGATGCACAGCAAAGTGAGCCGGTGACCCTATCAAAAGGAAGGAGACCATACTGTATGTCACACTACAGGATCACATAGTGCTGGGTGAGACACTGGGTGTGTCAGGATAGCAGTTAAATTGTCGCTAATCTGCGAGGGATGAATCTGAATCTTAGCAAGATTGGTTAGCAAGCTACATCCAAAAACCAAGTGCAATGTACAGACACACATATCTGCTAATACCCAATTATTCCCTGCAATGACCTTACCAGTCCGTTTATTCCATTAGAGACTATAATATAGTGGAGCAGCCCTGTTCAGTAACTGAAGTAGCTGAGATGAAGCATCCTATGACTGGTGAGTTATAAAAAACCCACCATCTTGTTACTAAGGTGGAAACTATCCATAGATGTCAACACTGGTTTTTTAAAACGGCCTCTAAATTTGCTATTTAATGGCATTTTAACATCCTTTTTATTTGGCCTCTTTCTGGCTTTATTAGACAGATAAAGTGAAGACTGACAGGAAAGAGATAGGGGAAGACATGCGGCAAAGGGCCACGGGTCAGACTCAAACCCAGATCAGCCGCTCTCATCCATGCGGCATATGGTCACCTGCTCATCCAACTGAGCTAAACCGGCGCCAGTCTACATGTATTTTGTGGACTTCGAGGTGTTCAACTATGTCCCTCAGAGTATTCTGTGGAGTATTCTTCTTCAGGAGTATGGGGTGTCTGGCCCGTTGTCACAGGCCTTCGGTCGTTAAACAACCATGGCAAGATCTTGGCTCACACAGCCGGTGTTCTGGAAATCCATCAACCTGGCAAACCATCCTACCTTTGTGAATGTCACCTACAAGCATACTTAAACAGCTAAAATTCAGTGGCAAATCATCCTACCTTTGTTAATAAGAGCTAGAAACATACTCTGACGGGTAAAATTAAGTGCCAAACCATGCTACCTTTGTGAATGTCACCTACAAGCATACTTTAACGGGTAAAATGAAGTGGCAAGCCATCCTGGCTGTATGAAAATGAGCTACAAGCATAATCTGATGAGCAAAGTTAAGTGGCAAACCGTCATACCTACTTAAACTGGTGCTGGAATTACTCTGTGACAGCACAAATGTGCATAAACTACTTATGGTAGGACGTTTTGCCAAAGTAGGATGGTTTGTCAGAACACTGGTAATAAGTCGGACTGGCTGGGGGTTGGACTCTGCCAGGGCTGGCCTTTGTCACTGATTCCGTTACTAATTTTTATGGACAGAATTTCTATGCATAGCCTCGTGGCAGAATGTTTCCACTTCGGTGGTCTCAGAAATTTATCTCTGCTTTTCGCAGACGATGTGGTTCTAGAAGGATGACCTCCTACTCACACTGGAGCGATTCACAGCTGGGTGTGAAGTGGCAGGAATGAGAATCAGCACCTCCAAGCTTGAGGAAATGGTCCTCAGATGGAAAAGTGTGGAGTGCTCACTCTGGGTCAGGGACAAGTTAATGCCCCAAGTCGAGGAGTTTAAGTTTCCTCAGGGTCTTGTTCACGAGTGAGAGGGAAGGGAAGAGGAGATCGATAGAAGAACTGGTGCTGCGGCTGCAGTGGTGCGGACGCTGTACCGGTCTGTCGTGGTGAAAAGAGAGTCTAAAAGCGAAGCTCTCGATTTACTTGATGATCTACGCCCCATCCCTCACCTATGGTCACGACTCGGGGAAGTGACCGAAAGTTCAAGACTCAGCAAACAGGGAGACACAACTTTGTTTGTGTTGTTGGTGCCTCGTGGAGCACGTCCAATGCAGTTATCTAAAAAATACTATGATCAGATTACTGTAAATGTCGGGCTATAAGCCGCTACTTTTTGCACAAGCTTTGAACCCTGCGGCTTTTAGTCAGGTGCGGCTTTTCTATGGATTGTCCATGATTTTTGTCATATCGTAAGACGATTTGTTTTGTGTGTTCCGCTGTTGTACGGCACTACGTTGCCTGGCGGAAGGATCGGGGTTCAAGAGTGGTATGTTAGTCACATGTCCGTCCGCCAGGCAACGTAGTGCCGTACGAAGTAGCGCGAAAAACAAACTTCAAAGTAGCGGTACGCGTTCAGCGGGAGTCGTGGATGATGAGCGGCGATAAACTTGCAAGTTATGCCCAAAAAGCAAGTTATGCCCAACTCCACCGGTGGATTCTGACAGCGTGGAAAAGTGTGAAAACATCCACGATCACCAACGGATTTTGAAGGGCTGGACTGCTGCATGATGGAGAGGAGGACACCGCCACGGCCCTTCTGAGGGTGTTCGACTCTGACACTGACAATGAGGATTTCTTTGGTTTTGAAAGTGACAACGAAGGAGAGAAGAAGAGTGGATGACGAAGCCATCCTGAGCCTGTTTGTATCCGACACTGGAGAAGAGGACTTTGGTGGTTTTAGTGCGCAGGAAGAAGAGAAAGATGGTGGTGAATCACTGACTTTTCTTCTTGTTAAAGCTGTGTCACTGCACCTGAGCCTAAAAGGTAGTCCGAATCTATTTTTCTGGTGTGCTGTAGGCTACTGTTATGTACTACATGTGCAAATATGTACCCATAACTTGTTTTTCAAAATATTAATAAAAGTGATGTCTCCAAACAGCCATCTCTTTCCTGACAATTCCCTTTGTGCATATTCTCTTACATATGATAAGTCAACATTGAAACACCTGCGGCTTTTGGTCAGGTGCGGCTAATGTATGTACAAAACAGGATTTTCCCCTGATTTTAGCTTGTGCGGCTAATATTCAGGTGCGCTTTGTAGTCCGGGAAATACGGTAGTTTGTGCTTCACTTTTGTGAGTGAAATTCCAGTAGCTTCAACTGTGTTTGTAGTTAAGTAGTTTTATGAATGCAAGTTAAGATGAACTAATTTGGCACTGTTTTTGTAGGTGTCGCCATTTGAGAGCAACAACTTAACGATTGCTTACATGTGATGGGTTTAGGGGACATCTGTAAATTGTAGCTATAATTGTAGCTATAACAAAATAACTTGAGTTACACTTGTTCCAACCAGCCTCACAATTTAAACAAGCTAGACAAACAATACATTTTCATTGTCCTCCTCACTTACTGACTTATTGACATACACCACCCAGTGGAAGTCAAAGACTACTCCTGAGCCTTACTGCAGACTTTTTTGAATATCTAGTATTGATGTTAAGCAAAATTACATTATCAGCTTAATTAAAGGCATCATGGGACTAATTCTTCAAGCCCATTACTGAGACAAAGGGTCTTGAACAGAAGGACAATAGTTCCATTAACAGACTGGGCCATTTTTTTTTTACAAACTTTTTTAAAACCAATTCAGAACTTTCTTTGTTGGGATTTCAAGACATTAAAAAAACTAATTAAGCCAATTTCATGCTCCATGTTTTCTTGTGTACATTTCACTACAGTAGCTTTGATTTTTCAAAGTTAAAAGAAATATTTTCTTTTAATATGCAGTGCAACCTTTCACGTCATTCACCTGTTTAACAAAGTCTGCTATCCCTGTTTGGTTTAGACAGCAATGCTTTGAAGATTTTTGACACAGTCTACCTTTTCCAGTGAATCGAGGGCGTTCTGTGGGTTTACATTCCTTTCAGTGAGGGCTTTTATATCCTCACTGCTGATGACTGGATCCTTAAGCTGCTCCACCCATGACCACATCAGACTAGATAGGACCAGAGGGTCTCTCTCCTTGCACAGCCTCTCCCATGTTCCCTCTCTGGAGTTCAGCTCCATCTGCACAACACAAAACAGACTGACAATGAAATGACTGAAATGAAGTGCCAGTAAGAACACAGTTCCAGGTTCAAGTTAAACTATGTACAACACAGTTTTTTTGTAAAAAAATGAGAACTAGATTAACTCAACACGCATGTCCTATGGTAACGACAGTGTGATTCTAAATACACTGCAAGACAATCTATGATACATGAGACCCAGAGCTGTCTTTTTTTGGCAAATGTAAGCTAAAACTGGTAGGTCTGCTAACACACTAAAACTACACGTGGAGCAAATACCACTGTGATCTTAATCTGATTATTTAACTGAGCTGCCCATTTTTAATTTAGTTTATTAGCTAGATTCTGGGAGCACAGCTAAGCTATACCTAGCTAGCTACCTTTATCTTGCTTGCTAACATTATTACTGACAAAAAAATCACATGAATGGAAGTTCCTGTTTGCTAGCATGACAAAATTAGAGCAGCACAGTACAATGGTTAGCACTGGTGCCTCGAGGTCCTGGAATCTAGTCGGTCACATGTATGTATTATCACTGTTTTGGCTAATCCTAGCATGACCTCTGTTCAAACACAAAGCAACAAGCTGTGGATGTCATTAAAAACAATTATGGTTTGAGGTCACACAGTAGACCTAGCAGTCAACACAAAGATGGGTAAGCCCAAAGCTGTAAAGACAGAGCACTCTTTTCAAAACCCTATTGGTCAAAGGTACTCTCTTCCTCCCGCTGCTAAAAATAACAGGCTAATCCTGGAAGGTTGCTAATCTATCATCCTTCCCTTATGAAGAGTCATAGATAGCTTTTCTAGCAATTGCATGAAAAGTAAGAATTTAGCCGGAGCGCGTATCGACTATGAGACAGTCCAAAGTTGCACTGAACAAAGTGCAATTTACAATTTGAGATTGTAATGTTTAGAAAATCTGGTTAAGCAGGTTGGAAATCTGGCTGGAAAGTAAGTGTAATAGTCCCTGCACAAGTTAGGTGGGGCTCACCTGCCACACTGACACCTTGGAGGTGAGATCCTTGTCTGTCAGTTCCAGGGCCAGAGCTTTTGCCACCACGAGGCACCTGCTCTCTGGTGAGAACTCAGACTGGAGGGTGATGAAAGGAACCTCTGAGAAGTCATCTGCACTTCCACCCATTGACACATTCTCCTTACCAGCTACCAGTTTGCTCTTGACTGCTAAGGCAGGCAGTGTGGCATTGCAGTGGGATCTTCTACTGTCCTCAGAGAAATCTAAAGGCAAACTCTGATGGCCTTCACGGAGCGGTCTTTTTAAAATGGGAGATCCAAGGTCTTCCTTTGTTTCTATACTGGAGTTCTGATTGTTCTTAAAAATGTTCTGAGTAGAGAGGTTGCAAAATCTGGAAGGGTTACAGGCAGTAAGGCTGCTGTGAGACAAGGAATGTTTGATCAGGCAGTTGATTGGTTGGTTGTTCTTCAGATTTCCTAAAGGATGCTGGCATTGCCCCAGCTTGTGAAGAACAGAATCGCTGTAGCTCCTGTTTTCGCACAGAGAAGATCTCTGGGGGCTCTCTCCATTCTGCTGCCTCCACAAGGGGTCAAGCTCATTGTCACTAATTAGAGGCTGATCGTTAGCAAGTCTAGGCTGTATCAGTGCTGGACTAAGAGGATGGGATGAACTACATAGAAGGGGAATCCCTTTCCCTTTCATTTCCTTCCCAAGCTGTTGAAGGGCCTGCTGGGACACAGTCTTCTCTACCTCAGCCGTGAGGTCGGGAATCTCCAACCATTCCTCCTCAATCACCACCTGTCTGTTGGCTGCGATGTCAATTAGCAGCCTGCACACCAGCTGGACAATCTTTGGCACGTTCTTCATCTGCCGAGCCTCGTAGCCATGTAGCAGGTGTCGTTGACGGGTGAGATACTGGGACAAAGTAACGGCACCTGCTTTGGGTTCAGCGCAGGAGAAGACACTTCGAAGAGGAACCAGGAACTGGGCAAACTCCCTGACACAGAGTAGCTGGCCTCTGGTTTGGATGGAGTTGGGTCTTTTGGCTCGCACAAACAGGATGGCTTGGTCAGCGTTCATACGAGTTGTAAAGACCAAATAACAAGCCAACAACACACCTGAATGATGCAAAATACAAATTAAAAAACTGATATATTTATAAAGTACAAATGCAGATTTGAGCGATTCCAGACTGCTCGTGTTGCAAACCTGTTCTTCCAAGGCCAGCATGGCAGTGGACAGCCATCTTCCCTTCTTGGACAGCAAATGACATGACTTTTACCATGTCAAGGATTGTAGTCAGAGATGCCACACCATAATCTTTCCATCCAAAATTGTAATAATATACTGAAAGATAAAAAGCCAGAGATTAGAATCAAAAGGAGTTTTTAATTGTTTGTGCAGTACATGGTCACAAACATCCATCCATCTTCTTCTGCTTATCCGGAGCCAGGTCACGGGGGCACCAGCCTAAGCAGAGAAGCCCAGACCTCCCTCTCCCCACTCACCTCCTCTAGCTTGTCCGGAGCAACACCAAGGTGTTCCCAGACCAGCCGAGAGATGCAAACATTGCACCCTAAATCAGTTAAGATAATCTAATTAACAAGAGCAGCAATGACAAGTTGGTGGTAGTTTTACTTGTTTTTTCCTTCCCTCCAAAACTAGCTTGCTAATTAAACAAGGTCTCAGTCCCACAGGCCTAGAGATTAGCCAGCAATCCTCTGGCAATTTCTGGTCTCCAGGAAGAAATGTGAATTCTCTGACTGGTTCTTATGTGGTTGCTGGAGGTTTCCTGCACTTCCTAGTAGGTACTGCACCAAAAACCTCGCGATTGCTTTGGTTGCTTGCAGACTACTGTCGTCACCATGAGTCGCAACAAAGCCACTGACTCGTCTGCAAATGCAATTTTCTCTCCGAGCAGTAGTGAAACAGTATGACAAACAAAAAACAGAATGTTCACCTTCAAAGTAAAGTATTGCACCACTGCAACAAATACATTTTAAAAGGTGCATATTTTACTTTGAAGTTGAATGGTCGCCATTTCCAGTTTGTGCTACACTCACACTACCACTTGGTAGTTTGTGAGTGTTTGCAAGGTAGTAGGCATCTTCCATTCAAATTATCGGAAAACAAGATCCAGCACTGTAAACCTCTTCCAGCAACCTCCAGGCACCATTCACAGAATACACACCCTAGCAACTGTTGGTTATCACAGGGGTCACAGCCTGGTCTTCAGGTTTGTGTGAATGGGACTTCAACAATCCATTTCCCAGGAACTGCCAGCAACTGTCAACTGCTCGAGAAACAGAAATTTTTCTCTTACAACTAGTGGTTCCCAAGTATTTACCAACTGGTCTCCAGTCTAGTGTGACTGGCGCAGTCAGCCAGGTTCAATAATAGAGTTGTAAAACATACAACTTGAAGTAACTTGGAATAAATCAATCTTGTGCATGAATAAGATTGTAAGTGTTATAGAAATTATTTTTTAGATGAATAAATTATTTTGTTACTTGTGTTTAGGATAAATATAATTAGTTCTGAATAACTTCCTCAGTCATTGTTGCATTTTCTGCACCAAAGCAGAGCGTGATTTTTCCCTAACATTCCTCCAGAGCTACCTGGGTTGAAGCGTAAACTCTAAAAGCGGAATGCTGTAACAGTTTTGACACCTTTTTCAGGAAATGTCTTGAGTGGACATGTTTGACCATACCCATGGTTGGCACAAACTTCAATCACTTGAGCTGATTTTGCAACCACAAGACATGGGCATCTTGAAGGCATTGAACCAATTATGAACTGCTCTGTATATCAGCGTTTTAGACTGTGTCCCGAGAATTCAAGTGTTGCAATGGCCCAGTCAATATCCACACCAGAACCCAATTGAGACGCTGCAATAAGACATGAAGAAAGCCACATATAAAGCAATGCCTGCAAACCACAATGAACTGAAGCAATGTTGTAAAGAAAAGTGAGCTAAAAAAAGACATGAAAGACTAATGAAGCCCTACACGAAACTATTACTGTTGGTAAAGGTGTTTCTAAGCTACTGATTCATGGTGTAAATGGTAAATGGTAAATGGCCTGTATTTTATATAGCGCTTTACTAGTCCCTAAGGACCCCAAAGCGCTTTACATATCCAGTCATCCACCCATTCACACACTGGTGATGGCAGCTACATTGTAGCCACAGCCACCCTGGGGCGCACTGACAGAGGCGAGGCTGCCGGACACTGGCGCCACCGGGCCCTCTGACCACCACCAGTAGGCAACGGGTGAAGTGTCTCGCCCAAGGACACAACGACCGAGACTGTCCAAGCCGGGGCTCGAACCGGCAACCTTCCGATTACAAGGCGAACTCCCAACTCTTGAGCCACGATCGCCCCGTGTACTCAAGTTTGTCAACCACTGCTTCAGCTTTTGTGCTTGGGTTTTGTTAAATAAATATTGACAGTGTAATACAGTTTTAAAGTTTTGTAATACATTAAGCACATTTTATTACCCCAAGATAAAACTGTGTTTCCTCGAAAATATACTTACTGCTACCATTTAAATTCAACTCCCAGAATAATGTGTTGTTAGAGGATCAATCCATTCTATGGAAAGGCTCTCCTTCCATTATTATTTGGTTAAATATAAACCACTGATTAAAGCTTGGTGGATTTTTAATAACTTGTTGAACTTGAACTAGTTGTTGCTGAAAAGCGATTCAAAACACATAAAGGAGCCTTAGTCTTACACTGAATGATGCATATTTTCTATACAAAATACAGGAACAATCAATCATTTTAGAAACACACCTCAAAGACTAGTTTACAGCCGCCACTTCCAACATCTCTATAAAGATCTTTGACACAAAGGGAAAATGTTAACATGATACGTGATCAGGTGATTAACAGACTCACACGATTGTTGCTTTGGCACTTTTCATAAGATTTGCTTCTCAAGGAGTGAAAAACGTTGCACGACAAAGACCAATATTAAGATTAAAGCCAAGTGTTTAGACTTGAGACTTTTTACAGACTGTCAAATAAAACATTGGGGTACGCAAAATGCACGTTTTGATGAGGTGACATTGTCAGAATCCCAGGAGAGCCTATTAGGAAGAAGAAGGAATGAAATAAATCCCCTTGCAATTACTTGGTTACTAGGGACTGCATGTAGGCAAAACACAACACAGATGGTACTGAGGGAAATGTTAAATCTACCTTAGCCTGTCACCTGCTCCACTAACTGCATACCTTGTACCATAACTCAGGCTCAAGAAAACTAAATGTATACTTTTTCCATTATTACTATCTGGTCACATGATCTTCTATGTTAAGAATGGTCTCCCCTCTTAAGAATCTACAAATCTACCTAATCAGGGCCGAACCATTGATTCATTAAGAAAAACCCCACATCTGTCACTTTTCATTCTATATCCTCACAACGTTTTCAATAGCTGTTGGTGCCAAGTACATCTGCTGTTTGGATCCTTCTGGAAGTGGCCCTATCAAAAAGCTACTGATACACAAGTCAGTGGTGTATGAGAAACAGCTCTTTAAAAGACGGACGGTTTAAACAGAACCAGGAGTATATTAAACTGTCAGTGACACAATAACAGTGTAATGTTGCAATAGTCTATCTGAACACTGCAGCTCAGGAGGCAGAACAGGTCACCTACTAATCAGAAGGTTGGTGGTTCAATTCCTTTCTGCTCCAGTCTGCATGCCAAATATCCTTGGGCTAGACACTAACGCCAAGCTGCTCTTCGATGCATCCGTTGGACTGTGAATGTTAGACTGAAAGCACTTATACAGAAAAAAGTGCAAATGGGCGATAAAAGCTCTAATTAAAAACCAGTCCATTTACCGCGTCTTGAGCCACCCCTTGAAGGTGCAGCAACTTATTAAAATGAGAACAAACAGTATTAGTAGCATATTGAAATACAGTATATATGTATTTATTAGGGCTGCAGCTAACAATAATTTTAGTTATCGAGTAATCTATCAATTAATCAGATAAGAAATACTTTTGTCTTATTAATAAAAAGGTCTTTCAGAATTAACTTCTCTTTGGCTTCCATTCTAGAAATTGTTTGACTGCGTACAACATCATAAAAAAACCAAACCGTCTCAGTAACCGCTCCGCCTCTTCGTTCTTGTGTAAACTGTGCCAGCGTCATCGTCACTGCTGCCTTTGTGTCTTTGTTTCAAACTGGGCCCTGAGTGGGCTTAACGTGGGGGGGGGGGGCGATATGGCCTGAAATCCATATCGCAGTATAATCTGAAACATGTGCGGTAACAATACATATCTCGATATATTCTTTTCTTGTGTATACCATATTTTCCGCACTATAAGGCGCAGTTAAAATCCTTTAATTTTCTCAAAGATCGACAGTGCGCCTTATTTATGAATTCTGGTTGTGCTTACTGACCTTCAAACCCATTTTATGTGGTACACGACGCTCAAAATACGATTTTGGTAAGCTACAAAGCCACACCACTTGATGGATTGTCGGAGCATTATGGCTACCATAGTCAGGAGCCTTGCGGAGGAATCTGGGTCCAAAACTCCGTACGCTTCAGGTCCCAAAGTCAAACGAACACTGTGGCATCACTGAGATTTAAAAACTGTCTAAATTCACTAGCTACACTGCTATGTTAGCATAATATAACCACAGTGAAGCTGGAGGATGAACACTAACTTTTTTCCACTCGATGAAAGTTAACGTGAGGGTTCCCGATGGGACAAATGCAATCGCATGGCAGGATGCTGTAAATGGATCAAACTTCAGTCAGGAGAACAACTGAGAAATCCAGTTAGTTAGTCATTAATATACTGCAACAACGTGGGAATAGAGAAGCTGCGAGAGAAGAGGAAGTGCAGTTTTTGGCTTTTCTCATATTCCAAAACGTGTTTCGTCTCATCGCTATTACTGTCGCACGGCATAATTTGCAGATGATATTGTTTGCAGCTGCTGCTGCGAGGCTTTCGACCGAAAAAGGCGCAGCTTGATGTCACCATCAACATGCGCTATCGTGATAGTGTCAAAATCTCTACCATTGGCCAAATTCATATCGTTTCTACCGTATACCGTTTATACCGCCCACCCCTAACTTCATGTCAGACTTCTTGCCCACACGCTGCTCCTAAATACGTTTGTATTGCAGGTCTGTTTTTAGCTAATAAAACACTGGCGTTTACACCGTCTAACACATCAACACACTACAGAGCCGTGCACTAAACAACACATGAAAGCACAGACCTTGTGTCGAGGTTTTTTATAATGGAATCATTCAAATTACTCGAAGAATCGTTGCAGCCCAAAGGCAAAAACAAAGTCTGAACAATTCTGAGCTTGAAAGGCCTTTAACACATCGGGCCAATCCACGACTGATAGTGATCCGCTGTGTGTTTTTCTATCCAGTTACGCTTTTACTGCATTGGCAGGTCTTTGGAATCACTGTCATGTTGAAAAATAAAGCTGTTGCCAATCAGACACTTTTGCATGGTGGATCAAAATATGACTGTAGTCTTCTACATTCACTTTTGATCCCCAACACCACAGGCTAAATTGCAGCCCCAAAACCATGACTGAGCCTCCACCGTGCTTTAGATGGCTGTAGATAATCATTGTTATACCTTCGTCCTGACCTCCTCTGTCTGGTGACAATAATTTCAAACAAAGATTTCCATTTTTGGCATGTTTTAACCTCAACTTGTGCCATTCCATAAAATGACTTCTTGAAAAAAAAAAAAAAAACATGGCTACCATTCCACTGAGGCCAGTTCTTTTGGGTCTTCTGCGAACAGACCAATCTCTCAGGTTTCTAGATTTTTTCCTATTGTTTAAAGGCATGACTCTCAAGCACTGTTCATCTGCTGTATACATATTTTTTTTTAGGCTTGACATGTTCTCTTTTGTCCTCCACTTATCCAGTTTCTTAAGTAAAATGTAAGGACACACTGCACACTATGCTGAGATATGCCAAGTTTTCAGCCAGTCGCTCTTTGGGAAGCAATTTGTTGGTTGTAAAATACTATCTGATGACGTCAAACATAATACCTTTGAAAATTTTCAGACTAGTAACAATGTACCTAAACATTAAAGTTTAAAAAAGATTATTTCTTTGCCAAGTTGTCTTATATGTGTAGACACAACACACATCCCTTGAGTTTGGTGGCTTTTTATGCTTGAAAAATTGATTCAACTCAATTCAATTTTATTTATATAATGTAGCACCAAATCACAACAACAGTTGCCTTAAGGTGCTTTATATTGTAAGGTAAAGCCCGTACAATAATACAAAGTTAACGTTCATAAGTCAGTGTTGAGTGGCTTAACAAATAAATGATGAGGTACAAGTAGAGCAGGGCGATATGGCCAAAAATATTTATCACGATATATATTTGAAAATTTCGTTGCAACGCCCCATATATGTAGCGGCTGGTCGTCTTGGCGGATGTATTTCTATTGTTTGTTTGTTTTTCGCCTTTTGCCCGCCTCCACAAGGGACTCTGCATCCAGATCGCCCCATGATGCCCTCCACTCGAGTTCACTGGGCTCTCATCTGGTCGGCATTGAACGCTGCTAAACTATGCAGCTTCTGCATCATGCTTCTGTTACTCGTTACTTGTGTAGGCGTTACGCGCTCTCTCTACCTCTGTTTTTTTGGCCTGGGACTCTCTTTGCGTGTCTATTATGTTCCCATCCCTGGATTTCCTCCATGCTGCTCGACTTTTGTGTCTCTCCCGCGAGGCGCGCACACCTGCCTGGACTCACCTCTCCCACCCTTTCAGTCGTCATGACACGCTTTCCCTGTCGAACACATGTTCCCTTTCTTTTCTTTCCCGGTGGTGGTCGTCTCCCTTGACCTTTCATTTCTCATCTTCATATCACCTTTATTTTTCTTATTTCCCTCATATAAGGCCATTCTCACCGCTCCATCTAACAACACGCCCTAAATGTGGTCCGTCATTGTAGTAAGGCTCTGTCAGTTTTCCGCTCGCCGGGTCTCCTGCCTGCAAACGACCGGCGGCTGTTACACCGTGGCTCCTGTTAGAAGCCTTCTAATTGGCGTCACACGCCCATCTCCCCTCTCTTCCCTTTTGCACCGCCTTCCAAGGGAGCTCTGGGGGGATTACTGTACCCATCCCCATCCTCCTTTTTGTGTTACCTGGGGCTTCCTCTGCCCTCTACCGTGGTGTGCTGCCCGCCGAATGCGGCGCGCTGTCCCTCAAAGCGGCATGGCGCGCCATGGCACCGGCTCCGCCCGCGATTGTGCCGTCTCCCACGGGTGGGGTTGTCCTATCCTGCAAATGTGCCCTTCACCTCAATCAAAAGTAATTGAGCCTCTGGCAGCGCTCCTATCGGTCTTTTTTGCTGGGGTTTGGCAGGTTGCTTGAATCGCGCTACGGTGCCTGCCTGCTCCCGCCTCCATCCCGCTCTGTTGGTGGTGGTGGTGTCGCGCTTGTGGTAAGGCGGTGCATGCTTGCTTGTTGTCGCGGACCTCCGGTGGCTGGTGCCTGTCCGTGGTCCGGACAGTGTCTGGTTGCACCTCTAGCCGTCTGATGCACTCGAGCGAGGGCCTCCCACACAGTACCAATGTTGGAGCGTGTAAACGGTTGTTACCAGCTCTCGCTGTTGGCACGGTGGCCGGTTATTGGTTGAATGTTTTTGACCTTGCGCTGTCCTGAGCTCTGACTCTTGTGCCGCTGTCTTTGGTGAGCTCTTATTTAACGTTTTCTTTTGTATCCTGTCTACTCATGTCAGGGCGTTGTTGCACCACTTGGCGGGCTCAAGACCCTGAGGTCGTAGTCATCTCACAGAAGGGCACACGTGCGGTCTCTCTTTGGGCTTGTTCACAGTCCCCCCCCTCCCTGGGAATTAGTATTGCCGGGTCGCATGGACGTACGGGTGCCCTTGCTCAACCCATGCTGATCACACTGGCTCCTGGCTGCGGCACCCGTACACCGGACAAGGTCTCTCATTTCCTCACTTTTCTGGGACGAAACGTGCCAAATTGCCCTTTATGTTTCATCCGGCTTATTTGTTTTCGCTTGGCTGGCCTTGCTGAAGACATTGAGAGCCAGTGGTTTGGTTACTTATAGTGTATATGGTTTTCTCAGAGCCCACCGTACTGCGAAGCTATGGTTTCCTCTTCTCTGATGGCACGGACTTTCGGTCCCGCTGCCGGTGTTGTTGTGTTCCTTTTTTCGTACCCACCAATACCGCAGGGGTTAGAAGTTGGTAGGTCACGATGCAGGTCTCACACTATACCGCCCGATGCTCTGATGCGACCTGAGTGCTCACACTGTGCGTCCATAAAATTAAGGTTATAACAGAAAATCTGTCGCTCGCTCTCCCTCTCTGTCTTTCACTCACACAGACACACCACCACCATCAACTTTGCTAAATTGCTAATGAAAAACATGATCAGGCAGCTGTGATTGAGCAGCAATGTAAATCCAACTATTTTCACGGTTGTTGTGGTCGTGATAATTTTGTGAGGCCACATGGAAAAGGCTCGGATGAGCTTTCCAAAGTTCTACAAGTTGTGCCTCCATCGCTTGTGTCCAGATCACACGCTGCACAGCCGTGCTGCTCCGTCTTTTTCACCGACGTTTACGTGTTTGCGCGTGAGCAGTGTGAGCGGCTCACGAGCGATTGATGATCGGGAGCTGGTCGTGAGGTGTTAATCACTTCTCGTTACCCCACGTATACTACACGACGCACGATGAAGGCCAAAATCGGTCCGATCACTCAAAAATCGTCTCAAAATGGGCCTAAAACCGCACAGTGTCTGCCCAGCATAATGTTTGTTCCCCTCAGAGAAAGGGAAGAATGGGAAAAGGAAAACACCTGGCTGGAAAAAGTTAATATGGGCATGTGCAGTGAATATCAGCGCTATGTGGCCAGAAGTGTGATAATATAACTTATTTTGTGTAATAAACAACTGCAAGGATAGATGATTACAACAAATAGATGACTAATACATAAAAGTAATACATAGATGAATAATGATGATGAGTTAAGATGCGTAATCATGGGAACAAGTGGGTTTACAAACAGGAGCAGCTGATTAGCATAATACCTCAGCTGAAGCCAATTGTACTAAATGCACTAAATGTGCACTGTTACAAGAATATTTTTCTTTCTATTGTTTTCTATTATTTTAAGTTAAGCAGGACAGAGTTCTTTTAAAGAAAGATTTACTTATATTCTCAAAAGTTAAGCATGACAGGCTTCTGTTTAAGAAAGAGACCTGTTTTATTGTGTTAATGTTGTCATTTTGAGCTAAAAATAAATGGCTAAATGATCATTTGTTTCACATGTGTTCATATCACAAAGAATATGCATCTGCTTAAATCAAATTCAAGTCAAATGGTTAAAAAAATAATTTCACACACAAAAAAAAGAGCTAAATTCACCACACTGGGAAGGGTGAAGACAACTGGGTTGCCAGCCCTGGCCACGAGGTGTCCCTTATTTATTTTTCAGGGAGTTGGCAACCCTATGTGTCGCTAGCGATCACGTAGCACATCATTATATACCAGCTAGCCCAACTTCAGTAACCCTACAAAAGTCACTGCTGTTTAGTTTCCTGTCTTCATTTATGTTGGAAGTGATAGCAGAGCTGTACGTTGAATTTTTTCAGAAATCTCTCAGTCAGAACATGCTATATCATGCTTAGGTAACTAGCGAAACTAGCGAGCTAACTTCCGCTAGCTTCCTGCTAACTTCTAACTCCGTTAAATGTAATAAATTTGTTTTCATGGATGCCTGGAAGTTAAACTTCATAGTTACACCTGGTAAAGCAGCAATGCTGATCGTTTTATTAAAGATGAAAGAATTTAGACAGTTTTTAACTCTCAGTGATGCTGCAGTGTTCGTTTGACCTGAAAGCATACGGAGTTTAGGACCCAGATTACTCCCAGATTTAAGAGCATCTTAGTCCGACAAATACGACAATAACGACGGCCGCTTGCATGTTCTGCAAAAAAATGTGCTTTGTCGTGTATCTGACGGACAAACACCAAACCAGTTCCACATCACTGAAGTTGCACCATTTTTACAAACCAATTCTGGTTCATCTGTTTCACTCAACAATCGGCCATGTGCGTATGAAAACAAAGGCACT